CAACTGTGCGCTTTCCTCGTAGTTTTCTGCCTCGCACAGCAAAACCGTGGAATGATCTATCGTCGGCACTATTTCCGAACCGTTGCGACCTTCAAACCTTCAAGAAAAGAGGTCCTTTTTGAAAGGCCGTCAATGGACCACCACGTGGTTCGTCTGCTCGTTTGCCTCCAATTCCATAACAAAAAACCTATCTTAGTTTCAGGGTTCCCTTTTCAAGTTGGCGAAAACAGGCATTGGTGTTGAAATGAATAAGTAAAAAATTAAAGTATAAGTACAATATATTGTATTGTTTAGCGGTCTGGAACAATTAATTACATGTATATGTTACTGTAAAAGCTCGAACTACAGTAAATCCTAAGATATTCCAGTAAAACCTAAGATCTACCAATTCCTAATGGTAAATGTTCAAAAAGATTTGCGATTCGAACTTTTACCACCATTCCGTTGGTAAATCTTAGGATTTACATCAATGGCATGGTAAATGTTGAAAAACAAAACATGTCATAATGTGCTCAGCGCATCGACTTCTAGCTTGCCGCCCCCGCTACCCGCGAGCCGTCTCCGCCACTCCGCTCGCCTCAGTCGCTCGTTTGACACGTTTGAACTCGCGCGATAAATTGATTTACTTTATTTTTGGATTCGCATGCAGCAAAGATTTTATAAAATAATGGACGAGCTTGTGCCAAACAAAAAGATAATAACTTTTATCTCGATAAGGACAAATACGCTAAGTGTTTAGAGGAAGTAAAAACTGCAAAGAACATTAAAAGAAGGAACATTTAAAGATAATGTTTTTTTAGGAACCTTACCTATTAATCAATTACATTTGATTGTCTTTATTTACTTCTAAACCAAATAATGAGAAAAATATAATAATTAAGTTAGACTAGCTTTTATAAAATTTATGTTTGTATTTCGTTGTTAAATTCCAAATAGAGAAGTACTGATTCAGTTAGATAGATATGACAGAGATTGAGATATTCAGATATATACGTCATGTGTTCTTTCAAAATAATTTAAATAAGTTGATATTAGTTTGTATTTGTTGCTATCATTATGATATCTTTATAATACCATGTACCTGTTTTGTCTAATAGTTCAAAGTAAATAATTAAGAATTACTCATTGTTTTATTCCCAAAACCAACATCTACCAGCTGACAGTGGTAAAACCTAGCATATACTGAGTTCGAATGGTAAAAGCTCGAAAAAATCGTCGTATCTTCAGAAATACTTACATTTACCAACTCATGTCGGTAAATCCTAAGACTTACACTTAAATCTTAAGATTAACCGTAGTTCGAGCTTTTACAGTAACATATACAATAAACGATATAATTCTGCCATTATTAATGGGTTCCAGTTTATGTAATCTAGTTTTTTAATTTATATTGCTTCCTTAAAATACATTTAAGTATGGGAGAGTCATGCTTCGGCACGAATGGGCCGAGTCGCCCGGAACGGGTCTCACAGAAAAATTACGTGAAACAACACTTGCGTTGTGTTTCGTCGTGTGAGTGAGCTTACCAAGGAGGCTCAATTAGCCCTCTCCCCAATCTCCCCCAATCCCTAAATCCCCAACAATCCTCAAATTCCGGTAACGCACTTGTAATGCCTCTGGTGTTTCGGGTGTCCACTGTCCATTGGTGGCGCCGATTGCTTACCTCCTTCTCCTTCTGCTCGTTTACCGGCTAATCCTATAAAGAAATTATTCCAAAACCGATTTGATTCACATTTACTATCAAATCGTACGTGCAGTATAAAATAATCGTTAAAATTTATGAGTAACGGTATTATACATAGTCGTGTCTAATTAAAATAAGTTAAAGTCGATTCAGGTAATTGTAAATGGCACTCATTATAATTAAATAGATTACAGTAAATTGCAATTTTGTATAGAAAATTTAAATATTTATCAGTAAGACGACTGGCTATATAAACAATAGAGTAAAAAAAAATCTAGCTAGCTTTTGGTTACTGACATAATTACAAAAAAAAAATATTTTTCCCCGTTTGTATTGAAAATCGTTAAATTTTAGCTATCAATTGTTGTTTCTGTTATTTATGCAAAATACTAGATTCTGCCCGCGACTTCGTTCGCGCAATCCCGATATTTCCCGTTCCCATTCTTGATTTTATTTATTTATTTATCTATTTATGCACAACACACAGACAGTACGCAGGAGAACATATATAAATATTTTGGAGGTACATAGGAACTACATATTCCCGAAGGAATCTCTTCCTGCAGTCCTTCGACAGGAAAAACGGTAAAAAAAGAGACACTGTGCGTAACACGACATGAAATGTGTTAAAAAAAAAGATCACAATAAAGTACATAGACCTATACATACATAAAAAAAATACACATCAAATAATACACATATTAGAGTATATTACAAATAAACATATTATACATATATATATATA